AGAAAGAAAGAAAGAAAGAAAGAAAGAAAGAAAGAAAGAAAGAAAGAAAGAAAGAACAACATTGTGAATAAAATATGAGATTTATAAGCTTCATGGTAAGTTCACCTTTCCTCTGACCCAACCATTTCACTCCAGATACATACCCTGGCGAGGTGCCAAAAGACATGACTGAGTATGTTCAAAGAGGTACTCTTTGTCAAAAGAAAATGCTGGATTTAACCCATCGCTATTGATAGAAAAAATGGACAAATACAAGAGGAGTCAACATTTTATATAGAAAAGATACCTATTCTCAAACTGTATCTAATGATTCAATACAATACCGATCAAATTACAGCAAGATTGAATAGAACATACAACTTCCAAAACTGATGTATATCCCTTACTTCACACCAAACACAAAAATCAGTTACAGATGGATTAAAGATTTAAACATGAGGACACATCAGTGGCTCAGATGGTCAAGTGTCTGTCTTTGGCTCAGGTCATGATCCTGGGGTCCTGGGACCGAGTCCCGCATCAGGCTCCCTGCTCACTGAGGAGCCTGTTTCTCCCTCTGCCTCTTTCTCTCTCTCTCTGTCCCTCATGAACAAATAAATGAAATCTTTTTTAAAAATTTTAAAGGGGTGCCTGGGTGGCTCAATGGGTTAAGCCTCTGCCTTGAGCTCAGGTCATGATCTCAGGGTCCTGGGATTGAGCCCTGCTTGGGCTCTCTGCTCAGCAGGGAGCCTGCTTCCCCCTCTCTTTCTGCCTACCTCTCTGCCTACTTGTGATCTCTGTCAAATTAAAAAAAAAAAAAGGCTCAAACAAAAGGAAAAGTTTTCTAAATTCTGGTTCATCTAGATAATTCACAAACGTCTACTTCCATCCAAAGTGGAGTAGTGGGGCGCCTGGGTGGCTCAGTGGGTTAAAGCCTCTGCTTTCGGCTCTGGTCATGATCCCAGGGTCCTGGGATCGAGCCCCGCATCGGGCTCTCTGCTCAGTGGGGAGCCTGCTTCCTCCTCTCTTTCTGCCTGCTTCCCTGCCTACTTGTGATCTCTCTCTGTCAAATAAATAAAATCCTTAAAAAAAAAAAAAAAAGTTGGGACGCCTGGGTGGCTCAGTTGGTTGGACGACTGCCTTCGGCTCAGGTCATGATCCCAGGCTGCCGGGATCGAGTCCCACGTTGGGCTCCCAGCTCCATGGGGAGTCTGCTTCTCCCTCTGACCTTCTCCTCGCTCATGCTCTCTCTCACTGTCTCTCTCTCAAATAAATAAATAAAATCTTTTAAAAAAATTAAAAAAATTTTAAAAAAAAGTGGAGTAGAAAGGACGAGATTTTCTTTCTTAAAAAAAAAAAAGGAAAAGATGATGTATACAAATATATGCAATAGCAACTTGAAAGACATTGGACATCAGGTGACCAAGGACAGCATCCTTGAGAAATGCACAAAGAACAAGGTGACCCCTGGGGTTGTCCAAGCTGACTGCCTTGTTTCCAGATAGGGAGGAGGAACTAAGGTGAAATACTCCTTGAGTTAAAAAGATGAAGCTAAGAGGCACCTGGGTGGCTCAGTGGGTTAAACCTTTTGCCTTTGGCTCAGGTCATGATCCCAGGGTCCTGGGGTGGAGCCCCATGTTGGGTTCCCTGCTCATTGGGGGTCTACTTCTTTCCCTCTCTCCTTCTGCCCCAACCCCTGGCTCCTGTTCTCTCTCTCAAATAAACAAATAAAATCTTTTTAAAAATTTTTAAATTAAAGGACGCCTGGGTGGCTCATTTGGTTAATTGACTGCCTTCAGCTCAGGTCATGATCCTGCAGTCCTGGGATCGAGTCCCACATAGGGCTCCCAGCTCTGTGGGGGGAGTCTAATTCTCCCTCTGACCTTCTCCCCTCTCATGCTCTCTCACTTTCTCTCTCTCTATCAAATAAATAAATTTAAAAATGTTTTTAATTAAAAAAGTGTTAGAACATTGGGGCGCCTGGGTGGCTCAGTTTAGGCCTCTGCCTTCAGCTCAGGTCATGATCTCAGGGTCCTGGGATCGAGCCCCGCATTGGGCTCTCTGCTCAGCGGGGAGCCTGCTTCCCCCTCTCTCTTTGCCTGCCTCTCTGCCTACTTGTGATCTCTCTCTCTTTCTCTCTCTCTGTCAAATAAATTATTTTTTTTAAAGTGTTAGAACATAATTACAGGATTTGGCTTGTTAGATGATTGAGAGGAAGGTTTGGTATTGGATACTGTCAAAACAGGGTTAATTCTATGATCAGGTACCTTAATCTTATCTACAGGGAGGGCAGACAAGAGTGAGGCTAAAGCTGTGATGGTAAAGTAGCAGTAGTCATTAGCTGGGAGCGGGGATGTCTGGTTGTTTTGCGGCTTGGACTTGCTCTTGTTTTGTGTTCAACGTAACTATGGAGTGGACTAGTTTTGTCGTGACCCAGCATAATCAGCCTGATGTTGTTTTGTTAAATTGTTTATGCTAAACGGGACAACACCAAGAACTAGCCCCTAGATGCCAGGGCTGCTCTTCTCTCTTTCACATACTAGTAAGCATATAATGCCCCATTCCTGGCTGGAGGATCTAAGTAATTTTGACAGGGAGATTTCCAGCCCAGGTGGGGAATTTCAAATAAGTGAGTAATTACATACATGAAATTTATTTATAATTATTTCTTTTATGTATTTGACAGAGAGAGAGGGATCACAAGTAGGCAGAGAGGCAGGCAGAGGGAGAGGGAGAAGTAGGCTCCTAGCTGAGCAGGGAGCCCAATATGGGGCTCGATCCCAGGACCCCGAGATCATAACCTGAGCCAAAGGCAGACGCTTAATGAACTAAGCCATCTACGTGTCCCCGAAAACTTTTTTTTAATTGAAGTATAAACATACAATGTTATAGTAGTTTCAGGTGTACAATATAATGATTCACCATCCTATACATTTCTCACTGCTCGTCAAGGTAAGTGTACTCTCCCTTCTGCCTTGTTGCATCCGAGAGAACAAGATGGCTCACCAGGAGCTCTACTGCAGCCATCTGAGGAAAGATGGCCAGGGTTCTTGCTACCTCTGCTCAAACCAGCAAGGTCTGATCCAGAAAAATGGCCTCAATATTTGCTGCCAGTGTTTCTGTCAATATGCGAAGGATACAGGCTTTATTAAGCGGGACTAAGTGAACTTCCTTGAATGGGTCATCCAAAATACCTACCTTAATGCCAACTCATTGTACATAAAATAAAAATATATTTTAAGATTTTTATTTATTTGACAGAGAAAGATACAGCGAGAGAAGGACAAGTAGTGGGAGAGGGAGAAGCAGGCTTCCCGTGTAGCAGGGAGCCTGATGTGGGGCTTGATCCCAGGACCCCAGGATCATGACCTGAGCCAAAGGCAGACATTTAAAGACCCAGCCACCCAGGCACCTAAAAATATTTCAGTTATGAGTGTTTTAATGTGGAGAAAAAAAAAAAAAGTTAAGTGTACTGTTACCTCCTTTATCTATTTTACCCCCCCCCCCCATCCACATCTATCTTAACCTTGTGGTATGCACTGGAAACCTTGGTCCTCTTTACAGTCCTGGCCAGATGTTGACCCCATACACACAGCTATGCTCTGCTTCCAGCCTATCGACAAACACCACTTCATTTGAATTTCACCTGAACTCCATCCTTTCCCAAATCCTGAAACAACTGCCTTTCCTTTGCTCCTTGAGGTCCCAGGACTCTACTGGTATGCTACTTCTCTCCTTGCAATGAGTCAATAAACGTGATTTTGTCGAACTATAGGATTGTCCCTGGCGCTCTGAGGCTCACTGTGGTACAAGAGAACTATATACAGTAAGTTAGATATAAATGCTATGGAAAAAAGAAAGCAGGGGTTAAGTGTTGGGGAAAGGACAGTTTGCAATTTAAACAGAATCGTCAGAGAAGGCCTCGAAGATTAGTGATATCTGAGCAAAGACCTGGAACAAGTTGGGGATTTTTAAAATCTTCTGAGTGTCTGGGAGAACAGCATTCCGGGAGGGAGGCACAGTTGGTGCAAAAGTCCTGAGTGGGAGCATGCAAGGTGTGGTGTACTCCGATCACATTTTCATAGTGAGCCTACCTTGATAACCTCTTTAATTCCTAACCTATCCTTACCCCACCGTTACTCCCTTACCCAGCTTCTGCTTTTTTTTTTTCCCCCAAGAACTCTTCCATACACAATCCCGTGATTATTACGTTTGTTTTCTGCTTTGCGAGAAAGCGCGGGCATCCTCACCCATCTCTTCCCTAAGTAGCCCGAACTTGGAGACTTGGGGGACACACAGCAGGAGCTCGACAGGTACGGGTGGAGGGGCTGACTGCACTGTCCCGAGGCCCGGGGCTGGGGAGAGAGCGAGGCCAAGGGAAGGCGGAAAAAACCCGTCGCGCTGCCACTCGGGGACCATCTCCTGGCGGGCCTAACCTCAAGAAGTCAGCGCAGGACCTGCGCCCCCGCCCCCGCCCCCACCCCAGCCGGAAGCGCACCCTCGCGCGTGCGCCCGCAGCGCCCAGGTCCAGGCGCCCGCCTGATTGGCTGCGGCGGCGCCAGGAAGCAGTGTTGCGCGTGCGCGCTTCCTCCGCGCGCGTCCGAGTGGTGTGCAGCCCCCTGTTCTCTGTCGTCCCCTCCGCAGCCCCGACTCCCGGTCTGGGATAGTCGTGCCCGGAGCTCGGGATGTTCCCAGAACTCAATAACCTTCTCAACACCACCCCTGACAGGACGGAGCAGGTAAGAGGCCGCGCGGCGGGAAGGGGGCGGGCCCCGGAGCGTGGCGGAAGACCGCATCCCCGGATGAAGCGCACGTGGACTCTTGGGAAAGACGCAACGTCCGCGGGCACCGAGGTGCCTGGGAGTTGTATTCCGGGGAGGGCCGACGGGGGACCTGGGCTCGGCGCGGGCGCTTCCGGAGGGTGGGCCTCTCTCTAAGTGCCCTGGAAGCTTGGCTGCCTCTGCATTGGTTTACGTTCCCAGACCTGTACCCGCGGGCCCTGTGCGTGCTCAGTGGCTCCTGGCGCCCAGAGGACGAGGTTGGCTGAGAGTCGGGAGTTTGATTCTCCCCGTTTCCCAGGAGACTAGCTTCTCATTCGCCCTGAGTTTCTCTCTCTGGCCCTGGGGCATTGTGCAGGTCGCTGTGAACGCTGCTCCTCTTCCTCCTCATGGTCTTGAATGCTGCTCTTCCGAGTTGCTCTCAGCCAGCGTCGGCTTCTGTCAAGTCGGCCTGGGGCACGACAGCTCCGCCACTTTGTTTTCTCCGCACTCCGGGGCATCCCGAAATTTTTCACATTTTAGCCCGGGGCTTCTTCCGGGAAACCAACCTGATTTTTACAAACTCTGTTCTCCCAAGAAAATGGAAAGCTCCACCAGGCAGCCAAGACACCATGTGTACCAGTCGGACCTTTTTAGGAACCTGTGGTGTCAGTTGCCCAAGCCTGCAGATGGCACTGGTGACCTTCCTAGTTACCTCGGGCACCTCCAGAGTGCTCAGCCCAGGGCCGGAGTGGAGGAATGGGGGGTCAGAGTGGGCACCAGGAAATGACAGCACTGGAGGTAACCCTCAAGGTCTGATAGTTCAATTTTTCAAATTTTATAAGTGAAAGAAAACTCACAACATGAAAGTGTCTTATCAGATACCATTTGATCCCAACCTCCCCTTTGACAGGGAACTAGAGGTGGCTAGAGCAAGGCAGCCAGCCCCTGTGGAGTCCATCTTTAGATATAGTCTTTCCAGGACTTTCCATGACCAGAGCTCTCATCCAGGGCCACTGGGATGAGAACCTTGTTACTGGAGGTCTACCAACTACTACTTCTCCCCTCTCCCCCAACCCTATTGGACAGAATTGGTATCAGAATTAGAAATAGGAATTAAGTTGGATCAGATTAGTTTTTTGAACGCCCATTCCCATCTTGGCAGGCTGTGATTTTTTATTGGATTCTGACAGTAAAAGCTTCTTTTGTTCAGGGTCTTGTTCTCCCCAGGACTGGTCCCTGAGGTACCACGGTGAATGAGGAAGATGAGGCACTTCATTCTGCTTGCCTTGGAGAAGTAGAAGCCAAGATATGCTTACTATAACAAGTGATTTAATCAATCACTTTAAGCAATCACTTCAAGTATTGTTTCTTTCCCTTGTTTTGACTTATTTCCTTCTTTTTGGTAATCCATGTGTGTGTCTCTATGTGTATAAGATACTGACCTCTTTCCAGGAAATCTAATTCACCTTTTTGTGTTCTCTTAACTTTTAGGGGAAACTGACTCTACTCTGTGATGCCAAGACAGACGGCAGCTTCCTTGTGCACCACTTTCTCTCCTTCTACCTCAAAGGTACAGGATTCATTGATGTTGTAGAAAAAGAAACCTAAGGCAAAACGCAATGGGAATAGTATTAACCAACCAGGGCTTTGGTGTTTGGGTTGCCAGATGGCTGTTTATTAGGTCATAGGTTACTTGACCGTCTTGCTCCCCGCCCATCCTCCCAAAGGGTGGTACGTGCTCTCTGTATCCATGTTGTATCTTCTCTTCTCCACCAAGTGTGTGTGCAGTCTCACGGAGACTCTTGTGGCCTCCTGATTTAGTTGCTCCTTGGTCCTTGTGTACTTGAGGTCCTTGGGCCCTGGATCCATTGACAAGTTGCCCAGGCAGTAGATGCTTCCTAAAGAACGTAGGGAGGGAAACTGTAGGGCCACTGCAATTTATAGACAGAAGCAGATTAGAAGAAGAAAACAGCCGATGAAAGAGAGACTCATTTATCAACTCATTGCTTCTTGAGCCCTTGCTGAGCCAGGCCAGGATAGAGGGTAGACGTTTGGCACTCTTAGTTGTAATAATTCACAGCTTTGAAAATTGTTTTCTTTTCCAGATGATGTTATTGTCAGCACTGAAAGAGCAAGAGAATCTACAGATAAATTATTAGAACTAATTGTGTTCCGTAAGGTAGCTAGGGCCTTATAACTTCTTGGATATAAGACCAGTTTTTAAAATCAGTTGTATTTCTGTATACCAAAAATAAACAGAAAATATTATTTATTTATTTATTTATTTTAAAAGATTTTATTTATTTATTTGTCAGGGAGAGATTGGAGAGCACAAGCACAAGCATGGGGAGTGGCAGGCAGAGGGAGAAGCGGGCTCCCTGCTGAGCAAGGAACCTGATGTAGGACTCTGCCCCAGGACCCTGGGATCAAGACCTGAGCCAAAGGCAGACTCCTAACTAACTAAGCCACCCACGTGTCTCAAATAATGTTTTTTAAAAACCACAGTTGGATGAGGCACCTGGGTGGCTCAGTGGGTTAAGCCTCTGCCTTCAGCTCAGGTCATGATCTCGGGGTCCTAGGATTGAGCCCCACATCGGGCTCTCTGCTTAGTGGAAAGCCTGCTTCCCCCTCTCTCTCTCTGCCTGCCTGCCTCTCTGCCTACTTATAATCATTCTCTCTATCAAATAAATAAATAAAAATCTTAAAAAAGAAAAAAACCACCATTGGTTTAAAATAGAACAAAGTAAGGTATACCTAGTAGTACACGTAACAGAATTACATCTCAGGTTCGATGAAATAAGGCATTATTATCATATATGAGAAAATGTGCGTCTTAGAATGAAATTGGGTGTGTCATATTGCAAGGCCCCTTGAGTCTGTCTAGACCTGCCCCAGTGCTTTTGTTTCCAGAAGTGTGAACTATATGAGAGTGATTGTAAGTGAAGACTTCACTAAAAATCTGTTTGTTTTGTTTTCTAGCTAATTGTAAAGTCTGCTTTGTGGCACTCGTCCAGTCCTTCAGTCACTACAATATCGTGGGAAGGAAGTTGGTAAATATTGTAGACCTCCGAGGTACAGTCCCTGAGTATGTGGGTCACGCCGGTGTGAGTGGGGCCAAGGCTGGTCTCCCCTCTCTGGGTTGTAGAGAACTTAGCAAGAGAGTGACTAAGGAAATCACAGGGTGCTGAACCCCTTCTCCGGAGGGCTGAGGCAGCATCTCTTCCTGTTTTATTAATTTAGTTTATAGAGCCACATCTGTTGTTACTCCAATACAACTTTACTGACTCTGGACCAGTTACGATTTTCTCCTTCTCAGTGTGGGCTTTAATCTTAATTTTGCTGAGTTGGAGACCACAGCTTGTTCCACCACCAAACTGAGTGCCTCCTGTCTCTCTCTAAGTTTAGAGCTTCCATCTCCCCGGACGTGGGGAGAGGTGCTTTTGTCACCTGCTCCTTATCTCATCTCGGCCTGTCCTTCATCTTCATCGATGCAGGCAGGAAAGAATAAGATGGCCAAGAGGCTGGTGAACTTTCTGGCCTAGCCTAGGCCATCACACCTCAGAGAGGGAAAGAAGCAGGCCACTCATTAGCGGTGATGTACTGAAATGTCAGTTTTCCTCCTGGGCCATGTCACCGCCTGATGTCGCTGCAATGGGGAGAAACAAATGAGAGGATGAGAGGAGGGTAGACTCTTTCCCATCCTCTGCAGAGAAGGAAGAAGTTCCTGTGTTAGAGGTCAGAGCATGAGCTCAGGGAGAGCAGTCATGTTAAGAACACATTACATTCCACATCTGTGAAGCATGTCTCTGTGACCCTAGCGTCTGTGTTTCTGGATGAGAAATCAATGTTGGCTCATGTCCAGATTGGTACCTTTGAGTCGTTGTCGACACAGGAGGACTGGCACACACAGCACTGGGCACGTGGAGGGCTGGAGTGTGAGCCTCTGAGCTCTGGGTGTGTTACTGAACTGCTGTTAGCGGAATGGTAATGAGCGAGAGCAGAGGTGAGGAGCAGGAGTCTTTCTGTCTGCCAGTGGTCACTGTGGGGCTGATGGCACTGCCTAGTGAGGGGCACCGGGGTGTGAATGAACACTTGAGACTTGGCCTAGGGGCATGAAGAGTCTCAAGAGTTCCATGTGACCTCTTTGTGCACAGATAGAGTAGTGGGCTGCCTATCTAGATTGTATCCATCTTTGGGAGTTTGTCAAAATGCAGATCGTTGGGCGCTGCCCGCAGATCTTCTGGTTCTGGAAGTCTGGAGTGGCGCTCCGGGATCTTCCTTATAATCAGGTGACTCAAGAGCTTCTCGGTCGGCTAGGTCATGAAGAGCCCTATTGAGAAGTTCTGGTCTAGGGGCCCCTGGCTGGCTCAGTCCATGACCTCTTGATCCTTGAGGTCATGAGTTTGAGCCCCATATCGGGTGTAGAGATTATTTTTAAAAATAAATAAACTTAAAAAAAAAAGGGCTGATCTAGAGCAGGGGTTGACCAATCTGTTTATGAATTGTGTGTGGCTGCCCTCACTCTACAGAGCTGAGGAGTAACAGCAGTAACAGATCGTGGCCCGCGAAGCCTATGTTGCCCCCTCCGTTGTCTACCTCCGAACTAGTGCGTCAGGAGTTCGTGTCACCCTAGCTTTCGTGGGAGTGCCGCCTCTGAGGAAGAGGGAGGAGAAGGAGAGCCTGCTGCTGATGAGATCGTCCTCTGTGGCCGGCAGCCTGGCAGTCGGTCTGGGAGCTGTGTTACTGAGAACCTCAGAGCCCCGCTGAGGTCCTGTGCCGCTGAGGCGCACCTGACAGGGTTTGTGAGGTCCAGAGCCAGCGTCTGGCCCTTTCTTCTGCAGCCAGCGTTTTTCAGACCTTGGTCATTCTCCCACCATTTTGTTGTCATTATTATCGTTTCTAAATGTGCTTAACTTGGTAAATACGTACATTTGAAGAGTTTATGATAGACTTCATGATACTATTGCAAATTAAAGCCAAGTATTGAGCCGTCGTGAAAACGGGCGTGTAAGCAAAACGTCAGTTCTTTGCGAAGTGACCATTAAATATAAAGGCAGACCTGAGCACAGTGGGGCTGGTGGGTTGGGGACACCCAGTGGAAAGAAGGCACAGGCCCCAACCGAAGGTGGACAGCTGCACGTTTACGGGGCTTAGAATGTGTCCTGTGCCCTCTTGTGAGCTGGAGTCTGGCCGCTGGGGTGGGTTCGCCTGCAAGGCACCGTGATTCACTCTCCCGTGTTGTTTAGGGTGTCAGCCTGACTGCGGCCCGGGAATGTGGGCAGCTTGTGTTCCTCGAGGGACTTAAGTCTTCCGTGGATGTCTTCTTCCGGGCTCAGGCAGAGCCACACCCCCTGCAATTCCTCAGGTCAGTCAGCCCCCACCCCTGCCCAGAAGTCCCCACTGGGTGGGGGGACCCAGATCAGGCTTGCCCTGTGATTCCTTGTCCCTGGCATGTGGCGTGTGAGGGGACGGAGCTTCCTCCAGAAGGCAGACGCTTCCCTGGTGTTGCAGCTTCATCAGAGAGCCCTTGGCTCATGGGCCTTATGGGACAGAGGGCGTATGGCTGACCCAAAAGTTATAGAAAGCGTTATTTGCTGGGAGTATGGCAGAACAGTATGTTTTTTCCAACCCTGGCTCAGAGCCTTAGCACACACCTTTGTTCTGTTTTTGGCTCGATATATAGGACTCAGCAAAGTACGGCCTGTGGGTCAGCTACCTGTTTTTGTAGATAAAGGTTTTTTTAAATATATTTTTATTTATTTATTTGAGAGAGAGATCACAAGTAGGCAGAGAGGCAAGCAGGGGGTGGGGAAGCAGGCTCCCCGCTGAGCAGAGGGCCCGATATGGGGCTCGATCCCAAGACCCTGAGATCATGACCTGAGCTGAAGGCAGAGGCTTAACCCACTGAGCCACCCAGGCGCCCCTGTAGATAAAGTTTTATTAGAATAGGTGCATTCCCTTGTTTGCATATTGTCCTGGCTGTTTTACACTCCAGCGGCAGGGTTAGTTGTTGAGACAGAGACCATAGGACCCACAAACCTCAAATTTTACTGTTGGCCCTTTAAGAAAAAAATCTGTTGATCCTGGGTTTGCTATTCTGAGACTGGTTTTTCTGTTTCTTGTCCTTTATGAGTGTCAGACGTAAACACAGCTCTGTGCAGACCCCCCACGTGGCTGCTCTCCTTTGCTCCACAAGGGAGTCCCTGTGGGAGCTCTCCCCGCCCCCCCATAAGACCAGGCCTTATGCAGTGGCTGGAAGGCGGTGTAGAGTCAGAAGGCCCCGTGCCCCGGCCCTGTGCGTGTGATCTTGCACATAGCCTTTACCATCTCCGAACCTGGGTGTCTTCGTCTGAATGATGGGCCTGGTTACACTTCACCCCCAGGCTGTAGGAAGTTGCTGTCCTTGCTGTTAGCGGAGCTCAGACCTGGGGTGTGGGCTGGTGCCTAGGCCCTGTGCTTTGGTGCTTTTTGAGCCTCTGTTGCTGGGAGGTGTCCGCCCCGGGTAGTCACTGGGGAGGCTGTTCAGAAACAGGCGGAATCTGTTAGGTACACAAACAGCCCTTAGACCTTGGTCCCTCACCTGAATTGCTGTTTAGCTTTTTGTCCCCATGATGGCCTCCTGGGAAGGCTTCTCCTGCCTGCCTAATCCAGGTTAATCTTCCGATGCTTTAGCTCTTAAGTGGAGGGGTGGCATGGTGTCTCTTGAGGGCCAGGGAAGCTGTTTATTTTGTGTCCCCCAGTGCTTTGTACCTCCTAGGCCTCAAGGAGTGTTTGAAGTACAGCTCGCTCGTGTATGCGCACATACCGTTTCTTTCCAACCAAATCAGGAATGCCTTCGGCCAAGGCCTGTGATCCAGTTCTTTGCCTCCCCCCGGCCCATTCCTGTGAGGCTGCTCAGTCCCAGATAAACATTTGTAGAGAGAGAACTCTCTGATGAACCGTGCTTGATGTTCCAGGGAGGCCGATGCGGGGAGCCTGCAGCCCGTGTATGAGTTTGTCCGAGAGGCTCTGAAGCCCGTGGAGGACGGACAGGCTGCATGGAGGTACCCGGTCCTGCTGGTGGACGACCTCAGTGTGCTGCTGAGCCTGGGTCTGGGGGCAGTGGCTGTGTTGGACTTCATGCACTACTGCAGAGTTGCCGTGTGCTGGGAACAAAAGGTATTGATCGGCCTGCTCTCCATGCTCCCGCCTCTGACCTCCATGGGCCCAGGCGGGTCAACACCTCCCTTGCTTGCGGTGCTCTTTCTTATGGATTTGCCTTGGAGTTTGTCTTTATGCTGGTAGGCCCAGAAATCTTTTGGTCTACCATCCTCCACTCCCCTGCTTGCCACTGTTAAAAAATAAGGGCCCTCCAAATGAAAAGGTTGACCGGTACTGTCTTGACGGTAGCCAGTCGTGTGTGGTACTACAGCAGTCCTAGCTCCGGCACACATTGCCTCGTGTCCTGGGAGAAGTCATTGTCACTCTGCATGGGCTTTGAAGAGCAGTTGAGGTATAAAGTGCTGTAAAAAAATTGTGAGATGTGATGCAAGTATAGGACATAGCTGTTAACTGTCAAACGATGAGGCAAAAATGGGGATTTTGCTGACACAGAGCAATGGGAGTAGACCCACCTATACGATATAGGAATGGCTTCGGTGCCTGCCTTACGGGAACCCAATGGCAGAAGTTTAGTGACACAAAGCTTGCAACACACCCACACAGCATCTGGCCCCCGGCATCCGTTCTTCGGCATGTGATGGTGCCCCTGGCAGGAGCCTGTGGCCCTCAGCGCCGTATGGTCAGGCTGCGGTGTTGGGCAGAGGTTGGGGTGAGCTAGTGGAGTCAGCCGGGGCTGCATGTTCCCAGCAGGGCATGTTGAACCCTCCTGTGCAAGGGCCTGCCTGGCAGCTAGGCTCGGGGGAACTCCAGGGGCCACAGGGCTGCAGTCACGGGGCCGGGAGCCGGCGACAGAGAGAACGGGAGGAGGAGGGACGGGAAGGGGCGTGGAGGGAGCGATCAGCCACACGGAGGCAGGCATACTGCCTGCAGCTTAGCGTGCTCTGTGGCCTGCTGCTACCCTCGTTTTGTAAAAATACCTCTTTCAGTTGAAAAAGTAAAACTGGAGAATAGTTTAAGAAAGAAAAAAGTAAAAAAAAAAAAAAAAGAAAAAAGTAAATAGCACAAAGAGTAGTACAAAGTAGCAGTCTCTTTCCCCATGTGGATATCTTTCCTGAGAGTCTGTGCAGTTGTGAACATGTTTTATGTAGTGTGTGTCTGTGTTTTTCTCCATGTCGCTGGTCACCTGCCATACCATTTCATAGCACACCTGTATCTTGGTGTTCGTTGTCTAAGAACAGAACATTCGGGTCTACTTTATTCTTTTTAACGACTGGACAGTGTGCCTCTGAAAGGACTTACAGGGTATCTCCTTCAGCGGGTCGACCCCCCCCTGTGGTTCTGGTTGGCCAGCTCCTACCTGCCCTTCTGACTCTGCTCATGTGCGGCCATCTCCTGACCCTCTCCGCTGGGCCAGATAGGATGCCTCTTCCTGGGCTCCCTCAGTCCCCCATGCTGCCTTTTCTCCTGGCCTGTGTCCTGTGTTGTCTTCAGGCCCACACCACTGCCCTCTGATCCCCGCTGCAGTCTGGCACGTGCTGAGCACTCAGAAGCCTGGCAGAAAGGCGGCACTTTCTGCTAACATGGAGGACCACAGGCCAAGCTTGGTTTAGGAGGGATTGAGCGGGTTGGATGTGCTGGCGAGGCTGGAATTAGGGGCTTGGAGCATAAGCAGGCATCCTTCCTAGCCACAGTAGCGTGGTGGCTGATCAGGGTGAAGACGTGCAGAGGATTGGAGGCCCTGAAAGCCCGGGGCCCCCTGATGGCCCTGCCTGGAGGAGCAGCTTCTCAACTTGGCTCTCTGTTGCAGGGAAACATCGTGGCCCTGGTACACGACAGTGGAGACGCCGAGGACGAGGAGAATGACATCCTCTTGAATGGCCTTAGTCACCAGAGCCACCTGATCCTGCGGGCTGAGGGCCTGGCTACGGGCTTCTGCAGGGATGTGCACGGGCAGGTGTGCAGGGGCTCACGGGGCACAAGTTGCTGCTTCTGTGCCTGAGCCGAGGCCTTACGTGGGGTGGTGTTGGGCCCTAGGGGTTGTTGGGTTGGGGCGTTCCTTCGGGTACAAGGGAAACCTCAGGAGTTGTGTGAATGCAAGACGAGTCTGTTCCAGATGGGGCTAGCCTCACACAGCGGTGCACATTTTCCACGGTGGTCCCATTTGTGCCCGAAGTGGGACTTGTAAAAAGGAGACCGCCATCTGGAGCAGAATTCTGTCCAGCAGCGGAAGGCCTCTGCAGGGCCACGACAGGCTTGGTGTACTCAGCAGCGCTGCTCCTTTTAAACTACAGACCTGGGAGGACCGTACCCATGGCTGGGGTTGCCGCCGCCCCCGCTGCCGCCTCTGACCAGAATGTTTGAGAACTCGGGCAGAAGCTTAGAGTCCTGTCTTGGGAAGGAGGTCAGGTTCTTCCCCCATCCAAGGGGTTCTCTGCCTTCTAGAACTTCTCTCTCGGAATATCCCCCAAAGCCCCTGCCACGGCTTCCAGGTTACTTTGACGTTGACCACTCTTGACCCATTAAGCATGGGTGAGAGTTTTGGCCCAGAGTTAGAAAAGAAAACAAAAGGGCAAGCCCAGGGATGCTGTGTTGGTGGCACCTATGTGCACTGTGTGAGGAAAGGGGTCAGAGGAGGTTCTCTGAGGCCAGGCCCCCAGAGTGTTCTCGCATGCCTAGCATTGAGACATCATCAGAATAAACTTCTAGCCTTCCTGAGCCTGATTGAATGTACTGACTCTCATGAGCTGATTTTCAGAATCAGGTAGCAAACAAAACCACACATAGAAAAAAAGACCAAAAGAGAAAATAAAAACACTTAAGTGGTTTTTCCCTGGATGGCTGTTTTTCTTTTTCCTTTTCTGACACATATTCTGTAACAAGCAGCTATCACTCCTAGACCGAAGGGTTAGTTTTAGTTAGCTGGTAATAAGCTTTGTTTCCGAAGTGGGTCGCATGGCTGTGTGGCACGTGACTGGGACCCCCTACAGGCCTCGGTCACAGGGAGTGGAGGAGGCAGGGACGTGGGAGCTCTGCTTCTCTTTCATTCTTCTCCTTGTCCCTGTAGCTGAGGATCCTCTGGCGAACACCATCACAGCCTGCAGCCCAGCGGGACCGGAGCCTCACTTACCAGTACAAGATACAGGACAAAAGTGTGTCCTTTTTTGCCAAAGGAATGTCTCCTGCTGTTCTGTGACCTGATTGAGGAGCACATGGAGCGACCTTGGACCATTTTCAGATGTGAAAGATAGAGTGATGGGTCAGAATGGACCTGTACACCTTTGAAGTGGCATTTCAGCCTGGACCGGCAGCCCCGCTGCGGTGCAGGGCAGTGGAATGGGGCCGTGATGGACGCCCTCGTTCCCCTGGGCCCTGGGCAGAAAACGCAGAGGGAGTGGTAACCCAGCCTCTGCAGAGAGAGATGCCACATGTCGAACCCGGGTGAAAATGGTGCTGGGAGCCTTCCCTTAAATATGCTTTCGCCTCAACCACCCGTTTTTCGCCGTTGTGACTTTCAGACCCAGAGTGGGTATGAATGTGCCAGCTAGGAGATGGTCCCGGGTGGCAGGCACCCGAGGGACGCCGTGGGTAATCGTGGCTGGCATGAGGAGAGCCCCATATCTTGGCTTCCTCGTGATGGGCTGTCATATTTCATTTTTACCCGCGTCCTGCAGAGGTATTTGCCCTTCAGTCCAGTAAGAAAACCAGCTTAAAGGGGTTTGGCAGCGCACTCAAGGCTGGAGAGTAGCTGTACGCACCAGAGCCTGACTGAAGTCTGCACTTGCTGACAGAGCCTCCCAGAAACCAGGGGCAGGCCCCCCACTTGATTGACGGCTTCACTCCCTCCTGGTTCTGGGGTCCCTGGCATGTGATGCTTCCTGGCTTGGTGAGAGGGGTAAGGAGTGTTCTTGCTGCCAGGAGGGATGGGGCCTTGGCAAGTTGTTGCCTCCCTCACCTGTGAAGACCAAAGGGGTGAGCTCTAGCCCCAGTGTCCCATAGATGCCCATCAGTCAAGATGGGCTCAGGATAGACCCCAGGGGCAGTCCCTTAAAGTGGGTACATTTTTGTTGTATGCAGATTATACCGCAATGAATTTGATTTTAAAAATAAATAAAATGAAACAACACTGCTCTGCAGGGACTGAGGAAATTTATATCCGTTTTTAAAATTTCACTTCTCGGGGCGCCTGGGTGGCTCAGTGGGTTTAGCCTCTGCCTTCGGCTCAGGTCATGATCCCGAGGTCCTGGGATCAAGCCCCGCGTCGGGCTCTCTGCTCAGCAGGGAGCCTGCTTCCCCCTCTCTCTCTGCCTGCCCCTCTACCTACTTGTGATCTCCATCTGTCAAATAAATAAAATCTTTAAAAAAAAAAAAAAAAGTTTAAAATTTCACTTCTCACATTTTTTAGTTTTTGTAAAAGGGAACAATTCATTTCTCCTCCCCTCAAGTCATACCGTTGTGTTGGTTATCCTACTAATAACCAGTAATAGTAGCTACTTTTCTTCCCAAAATATCACAGATCTGATAGAATATTTGAAAATTATGGTTATTGAAGAATCTAATGATTCTTTTATGAATACTCTTCAGTATTAATACCAGCTTCATCTGAGCTACAGTTCTGAATGGGCATGGCACCCCAAATCTTTTTTTATATGAATGTTGTTATTCTGTTTTTTTCACTTAATTTACAATTTAAATTCACAAATTTACTTAATTCACTTAATTAACTTCACTTAATTTGTAAATTAATTAAAAAATTTTTTTAAAGATTTTATTTATTTATTTGACAGACAGATCACGTAGTAGGCAGAGAGGCAGGCGGGGGTGGGGCAGGCTCCCCGCTGAGCAGAGCCTGACGTGGGGCTCCATCCCAGGACCCTGGGATGATGACCCAAGCTGAAGGCAGCGGCTCAACCCACTGAGCCACCCAGGTGCCCCGATTAATTAAATTTTTTATATAAGATTTTATTTATTCATTTGAGAGAGAAAGAGGGAGCACAAGCTGAGGGGAGGGGTCGAGGGAGAGGGAGAAGCAGAAGCAGGCTCCCCACTTAGCAGGGAGCCCGACTCGGGCCTCTGTCCTAGGACCCCGGGATCATGACCTGAGCCAAAGGTAGATGCTTAACTGACGGAGCCACCCAGGCGTCCCTGAGTTCACTATATTTTAACATTTAATGGTTATTGAGCACTTTATGATGTCATTATCCTAATTTGCTCAGCTATTCTCTGAGGGTAGGTTCTTGGATTTGTAATTATAAATTGTGTTACAAATACTATTTTATTATCTTTAATCTCATTAAAGATGTTATTTTGGGGGTATCTAGGTGCTCAATTGGTTAAGCATCTGCCTTCAACTCAGGTCATGATGCTAGGGTCCTGGGATCAAGCCCCACATCAGACTCCCTGCTCAGTGGCAAGTCTGCTTCTCCCTTTCCTTCTGCCCTTCCCCACTGCTTGTACTTTATCTCTGCCCTCTTCAAATAAATAAAATCTTAAAAAAAAAAAATTATATTGGGAGCCTGGGTGGCTCAGTGGGTTAAGCCTCTGCCTTTGGCTCAGGTCATGATCTCGGGGTTCTGGGATCGAGTCCCCCATTGGACTCTCTGCTTGGTGGGGATCCTGCTTCCTCCTCTCTCTCTCTCTCTCTCTCTGCCTACTGTGATCTCTCTGTCAAATAAATAAAAAATTTAAAAAAAAATTATAAAGAAAAAAAATTATAAAGATTTTGTTTTTAAGCAATCTCTGTCCCCAACATGGGGCTCGAACTCAAAACCCTGAAATTGAGAGTCACATGCTCCACCAACTGAGCCAGCCAGGTGCCCTAGGAATTTTATATACTGTACCTATTTGAAGGTGGGATAAATACTTGTTTCCTGAGAACATTCATACAGTCATTCAACAAATACTAAGCACCTTCTATGTGGCAGGCTGATGTAGGCACTGAGGGTATGACCATGACAGAGCAGGTCCCGGCCTGCAGGAAATTGAGAAGTAATCTGTGTAGCGTTAGACTGTGCTAAGTGCTATAAATAAAACAGGGTAGGGGCACCTGACTGGCTCTGTTGAAAGAGCATGTGACTCTTGATCTCCCGGTTGTGAGTTCAAGCCCCACACTGGGTATAGAGATTACTAAAAAGAAAATAAACTTTAAAAAATAAGAAAAAGAGCAGGGGAAGGGGCCCTATGAAAGTGAGGGATGATGAAACTTTAGTCTTCTCCCTGAAGTGGAGTTTTTGAATTAAAGCATGGATTGGGGCACCTGGATGGCTCAGTTGGTAGAACATGTGACTCTTGGCTTCCAGTCCTGAGTTCAAGCCTCATGGTGGGCATGGAGCCGACCTAATTAAAAAGGCAGAACAAAACGTGGACCGGCCCTCACGTGGTATCATATTGTCCTTCAGAATGATGGAGCTGGTTAACAGTGGTCTGTAAGTTTTCCTCCACCAACATTGGATTTAACTTATCTTTTACGAGTTCAACAGTTGTGTAGAGTTGTGTGAAAACGGACCTTCTTTAACTAGGCTGATTTTCTCTCTCTATTTTCCCATGTGTGGAGAATGTATTCCTCACCTTTAATCACTTATCAGTTAGAATCTGGGGTCAACCTTGTTTTATCCATTCTTTGTAATATTTTGGAAAGGATTTTATCATTTGTTCATGTATGTATTTTTCTACTTTTAAAAACATTTTATCTTCAGAAAGATTTGTTTTCTACTCCAATATGCATTAGTTCAAGAAATATTTGTGGACTACCAGTTTTATTTAAGGGACCATTAAGATAAAGACAATCCTAAAGGCACCTGCTGTGCTCTGATGGGAGCTAGGAAACAGGCATCTAAGTAATGTGACCCAGAGGAGATGTTGAGGGCCATCAAAACAACTCAAGTAATGGACGGTGACAGGCTGATCGTCAGAGGAAAGAGCGATTATTTCCCCGTCACTTTTTTGCTTTTGTTGAGGGAGCAGAGAATTGGGGAAGAAGTTATGGAGGCAATACTTTTTGAACAAGACCTTGGAATTACTCCCGTTTTGTCTCTGATGGTACCTTAGTTCTTCAGGATTCGGGAGAGGTATTTTCCTTCCCGAGTGGGATGAAGGTGCTGTGCTTCGTTGTTGTAGTTGTTGTTGTTGTTTCTAGCTTAAAATAATTTTTAAAATATCCTTCAAGTTAACTGATTTGGAATTTGCTACAGTATTGGGGCGCCTGGGTGGCTCAGTGGGTTAAAGCCTCTGCATTCAGCTCTGGTCGTGATCCCAGGGTTCTGAGATCAAGCCTGGCATCGGGCTCTCTGATCAACAGGGAGCCTGCTTCCCCGCTCTCTCTGCCTGTATCTCTGCTAACTTGTGATCTCTGTCCGTCAAATAAATAAACAAAATCTTAAAAAAAAAAAAAGAATGTGCTACAGTATTATAATTTGTCTCCGTGCTAACTAAATTTAGCCCAACAGTATTTACTGAAAAGTAGTAATCCTTTCTTGTTATGTAGTTTGGGTTTATTTATATGTAAAGTTCTTAAAATTGAGCTTTTCTGAAATTTGTTTTTACTAGGTATTGAAAGGTGGGACGCCTGGGTGGCTCAGTGGGTTAAGCCGCTGCCTTCGGCTCAGGTCATGATCCCAGCGTCCTGGGATCGAGTCCCACATCGGGCTTCTTGCTCAGCAGGGAGCCTGCTTCTCCCTCTGCCTCTGCCTGCCACTCTATCTGCTTGTGCTCACTCTCGCGCGCGCTCTCTCTCTCTCTCTGACAAATAAATAAATAAAATCTTTAAAAAAAAAAAAAAGGTTAGTATATGTCTGCTCTCAAGAGCCTTTATTAAAAGGGTACCAGCCCCACTTATTTATCCAGATGAATTTCACCAGCATGGCACTAAACTCTGTAAAGTATCCTTCAAGGATATTTTGTTCTCATTTTTAAAATTATAGTTGTATCATTTTATTTAAAAAATCAGTGAAGAAATTAATACTCTTAAATGCTTTTTATTATTGGAGAAGAAATGATCTGGTTATTAGAGTTTTTTAGATTTTTTGTTTTGTTTTACGTAGGCTCCACACCCAGCATGGAACCCAACACGGGGCCTGAACCCATGATTCTGAGATCAAGACCTGAGAAGGGCTGGATGCCTAACCAACTGAGCCACCCAAGTGCCCCCAATTTTGTGGATTTTTCTATGGTGTCTTTGACATAGGGATGTAGTTGACTTTTTTTTTTTTTTTAAAGATTTTATTTATTTGACAGAGAAATCACAAGGCGACAGAGAAATCACAAGGCGGCAGAGAGGCAGGCAGAGGGGGAGGGGAAGACAGGCTCCCTGCTGAGCAGAGAGCCAGATGTGGGGCTCAATCCCAGGACCCTGAGATCATGACCTGAGCCAAAGGCAGAGGCTTAACCCACTGAACCACCCAGGTGCCCCTGTAGTTGACTTTTATAAGGTATAACTTATTTTAGTTTTTCTAAACTAATCTCTAATTGAGATTCCTGAATTTTTAGATATTTTTTCATGTTTTCCTTTTTTCAGATATTAACATCTGCAAATAATGCCAACCTTGCTTACTTTTCCTTTAAATAGGGCAAAATTTTTTATAGAAGTATAGTTAATTTACATTATTAGTTTCAGGTGTACAACATAGTGATTCGACAGTTACATACATTATGCAATGCTCACCATCATACAAGTAATGGTAATTCTCATTAGGCACCATACAAAGTTATTACATTGTTATTGGCTAAATTTCTCATGCTGTATTTTGCATTCCTGCTATTTATTTACTTTATAACAGGAAGTTTGTACCTCTTGATCCCCTTTACTTATTTTGCCCATCCTCCTACCCTCCTCCCCTCTGGCAATTACCAATTCTCTGGACTTATGAATCTGTTTCTGTTTTTTATTTTTCATTTTTAGTTTCCACATATAAGTGAAATCATACAGTATTTATCTTTCTGTGTCTGATTTATTTCACTTAGCATGGTCCCCTCTAGGCCCATCCATGTTGTCACCAATGGCAACGGCTCATTCTTTTTTATAGCTGAGTAATATCCTAGCGCACATGCGCGCGTGTGTGTATGTGTGTGTGTGTGTGTGTGTGTGTGACATCTTTATCCATTCATCTATGGAGGGAAACTTGAGTTGCTTCCGTATATT